TCACTCTGCACCTGCACTGTGGAGGGTTTTTGGTGCTCTCAGTGCTGGTTTCTCTCACTGTGACTTTCGCACAGTAATACGTGGCGGTGTCCGAGGCCTTCAGGCTGCTCCACTGCAGGTAGGTGGTGCTGATGGACTTGTCGGCTGAGATAGTGACGTGGCCTTCGAAGGACGGGTTGTATCTGGTATCAGAATCACCAGGATAGATGCTCCCCATCCACTCTAGGCCTTTCCCGGGCATCTGGCGCACCCAGCTGATCCAGCTGCTGGTAAAGCTGTATCCAGAAGTCTTACAGGAGATCTTCAGAGACTCCCCGGGCCTTTTCACCTCTGCTCCAGACTGCACCAGCTGCACCTCGGCAGAGACTCCTGTGGGGGAGATACAAAATTTGAATTGGGGCTCCTTTCTCCCCATTCTTTTCTGTGACCTCAAACCCTGGGCAGGACTGACCTTGGAGAACAGCCAGGAGGAGGGCGAGGATGGCAGCTGACCCCATCGTGGTGGAGGACAGAAATGAAGCAATGAGAAATGAAGGACAGAAAATGAAGCAATGAGATCCCCAGCTGGACGGTGAGGGAGGCTGACTGTGGAGGGGAGCCCTGGGTTTAAGTGGGGAGGCCCCCACTTGGATTTGCATAGTTGTCACCCTGCCCTGAAGGGAAGAGTCTACAGGGTTTATAACCCAGAACCTCAAATGCAGAAAAAGGTTGGCCAGAGCCTCCTGGGAGGGGCAGAGTAAGGTCTCAATAATTCCTTACACCCTGCTGTTGTCCCTCTCCACAATTTTCCATGTTTCTTCGAGACCCATCCCAGGGCCTCCCTTCTTCCACCCTTCTCTGTGACCCTGTGAAGGTGACAAATCTAGATGAAACGATGTATGTTAAAAAATGAGAAATAGAGCCAGGAAAGGCCATGAAGAGAAAATTCAAATACGTGTATATCCGATAACAGGAACGACCAAGAAAACTACTCTCTCTTCCCTGGCAGTTTCACATGAGTTGGACTATGGTCTTGGCACCAAGCAAGGGCAGGACCACCTCAGGCCTTCAACAGTCCTCAAATTGATTACCTTGCCAGACCTTCACCCATGCAAAAATCACACAATTTTCCTGGCCATTTTGTCTTCTAGATTTCACACTCTGCCAATTCAACATGAATAGGGAATAGTTGTTTAGGTCTCTGAATTGCTGATGGACCTGAAGGGATCCCCATTGCTGCACCCAACTCCTGGTAGTGCTGTTTCAAGTCCTTTGTGTCAACCCAGCACCTTCTTGTTTAGTTCTTTCATTCTTTAACTTTTATTTTATGATACCAACGTTGCTTGGAAGAGGCCCTTAATTATCCCCTTTGTCTGCCCTGTTTTATGGTGAACCATTCTCATTTCCTTAGCACCTAAAAGATCCAAAGGAGAAGCCAAGGAAACACAAACTACACAGGTTCTAAAGCTATACAGGATCTGGGATCCAGTGCATCAGGAACATCCTACTTGAGGTTGGGATCAGAGACAGCCGTCTGTCATGTGTCTGTTGTGAGCTGTGGGTCCAGCATCCTCCCGAACGTTCTCCTCTCATGTGCAGCACAGGAAGCCAGAGAGGCTGCTATGTCAGTCATTCTCACAGTCCATTGGCTAACTTTGTTCGCAATCCGATGATATCAATCATATTACCAAATGATGCCACTTCCCATACTGTCTTCCTTGTTCTAGTTGTCTAGTGGATTCTCCCCACCAGCCCAACCCCTGGGCTACCTTCTGTGTGGCTGTTGTGTGTTGTGTGTTGTTTCTGGACAACTGTCCTCTTTGGTGGTGAATGGGAGTCTAGCAGCCTCGGCTCACAGAGCACAGTGCATGGCTGGATGTGCATCTTTTTACTATTATTTTAGCTATCACAAATATTAATTGCATATTTGGGTTGTTCTTCGTTACTTTTACATTTCCTTATTCAGGGAACAACTCTTGGGAAGCTGTGTCTGTCATTTCTAAATTCCATGGATCACTTTCACTTCCTGCTCCTTATTGGAGCACACATGCCATCTCATGCCATATGATTCCGTAGCCAGTCTGGCATTGAATGTCTTTTATCCCACACTTTCTCATCCTTTGATGTTATAAACAGTCCTCTAGCCATGTGTCACAAGTCAGGAACTTTCTAGCATTCTCCACCTCTGATGTAATTGTGTTGAGTGTCCCAAGACCATCCTCAGGCTCCATAATCAATAGAAATAAAGGACTCAAGACAGGCTGTTATTCTCATGGGTGCAGCTTTATTATAGCAAATGAATATGAATTAAAACAAGCAAAGACACTAGGGAAAAGGCCGTGAGAATCCAAGCACAAGCACTCAGGTGTTCTTTCCCTGAGGAGTCTCTTGTCCCCAATTCTCCCAGCAGTGATGTATGACACCACGTGTGAAGCACCGTCCACCAGAGAAGCTCACCTGAGTGCTGGGGCCCAGTGCTGTTTATTGGGGCCCATCACAGATGTGTGTGGCACCTGCACGACTGACCTCCAGTGCTCAAATGCCGGCCCCTTGAGCAATAATAGGCGTTCACCATAAGTCATTATGAAATCAGCTAGTATAGTGTGCACCCAGGCTACACACAGAGAGACACAGACACAAAGAAACAAAAATACATTTTAACTAATAAAATAATCATAATAGAGAGATAAGAGGAATGTCTTGGAAGTGATTGCTACAGTTATGACCTTGATGGTGGGGATAACTTTCCAGATGTACACTGACTCCGAACTCACTGAGTTAACTATGTTAAATCATGTGTAGTTTTACAGATGTGAACCTTACCTTAATCGAGTGCTTTAATAACACTACCAGGGGGAGTTTGCCAAAAAGGCAGATATCATCTGCCAGGAGCTGAATATGGACCTGGCTTGAGAAAGCACTTTTTTGGGAATTTTCAGGGTTTGCACAACCCAAGCCTGCTTGGTAAACACTTTCCTGTACACAAGTCCAGGTGAGATGGAAACAGGCTGTTGGAATAAAAGGCAAGACTCAGAAGAAAAGAAGTGGTGAACAAGGTATGACCCAATGTAGGGTCAGTGTGGATGGGAGGCGCGGCTGAGAGCCTGTGGGTGGAGAAGAATGTGGACCAGGGGCAGGAGGAAAAAAAGGCAGGGGGGTTCTTCCTGAGCCAAAGCAGATATTTCATGGAGGGCACGGGCAGGGGCATGCACAGGCACAGACGGGTGCCATGGAGTAGGGGAGCCATTGGGGTATAGACCCAGGACACAGCATAAGAAATACAGACACTCCCAAGGCAGCAGGCACAGAAACAATGACAAGCCTCTACCTTGGACTTCCATCCATGTATCTAAGGTAAAGTTAACTGATTTTCCCAATTGATCACAATGACTGAATCTCACAATCATTTCTGAAACACACAGTTATTGGTACTCACAGGTTCTGGACAAAACATTGATATCCCAAAATACACTAGTATAGAAAAAAAAATAAGAATCTGCTTCTATCCAGTTTGCAAGGATTCAAGAGCAATTCAAGAGATTCTGACATTAGATTTATGCAAATATATGGTAACAATTTGTCTCTTCAAACTTGTACTCTGATGGTAATAAGAAACAAGTGACAACAATTGGCATTGTATTATTATTTCTATCTACAATGATGGTAATTTTTGATGCATGATAACCTAAGTGTCCTAATTCTGAACCCACATTTAGAACTGAGCAGCAATCACTGGCAGCAGGGTCCCCCACATGGAGACACACCTGACTCAATAAAGCTACACTTGGGGGTCTCTGCAAGCTCCAAGGCATGGAGAAACAGCTCCCACCTCAGACACAGTTGGATCAATCTGTGCTCTTTCTCTGAGGAAGGTGAGGCTTAGTGTGTGGAAAGGACCAAATCTGCTCTATTCAAGATCTCTGCACCTGAACGAAACCAAAGAATGTGATCAGCATGTGGTTTCAGCCTGGATTGAACAATTTCTTAGGAGAAGGGCAATGCTCTTCCAAATCCCTACTCAGAATTAAGAAATAATGCATGTGTTCAGGAGAAATGTGGACAGTTGTTTACAGATTTTCTTAATCCTCTATGTCATCTGAGAGAAGCAAGAAAAATCATGGTTTCTATATAAAAATGCATAAACAGTGTGTTTCCCCTGAGAATGCAGCTCACATTTCTCCAACATCTGGGAACCCACAGACCAGGCATCCAGCTGCTGTTCTCTGACATCCATCACCCGGTTAATGCAAAGACACGTGTCCTGGGAGCTCCTCCCAGACAGTGATTATACACAGTGGAGATTGTAAGTCGTGTCTGCTGCTGGGACACAGGAGAGATCCCTGACGGGTGGGTTTGGCCCAGGGAGGCATCAATGGCTTTACTAGACTTAGAGTGGACCATGGCGTAATTAGGAAGTTTGATCAGAGTTCCCTGATTTCTCATGTCTTTGTCATCAGATCTGCATCCACATCTGACAGTTTCCACAGCCTCCCTGACCTCCTGTGACATCTTCTCCCTCAATTAGTGATTCATTCCATAGGGGCATATGATAAATTTTTTTCTAGTAGTAACCTTTTCCAATCCAGAGGCCTCAGTGGTAGGCAGAGAACCATAAATACAGAGAGGCTCCCAGGAGAACGCATTTGGTGCAAAAGAAGCCAGAGGGCCTGACAGGAAAGCAGCCCTTGAACTCCACCTGCCCCTGCCCTGGGCTGCTCCTGTCTCCTGTGGGTGCAGAGTGCCCCCTGCAGCCAAGCCACCCCCCGTGTCCTGCAGGGCGGTCTGTCTCTGAGCCCACGTGGACTTCCCATCACAGTGTCTCGTGCACAGTTTTACGCTGCCGTGTTCTGGGTTCTCAGGCTGTTCATTTGCTTGCACAGCATGTACTTGGTGTTGTCTCTGGAGATGGTGAGTCTACTCCTAACACAGGCTGCATCGTATTGATGAGTTTCACCACACCATGTAACTGCAGCCCATTCCAGCCCCTTCCCTGAGGCCTGCAAACCCAGTGAATCCCATAGCTACCGAACGTGAATCAAGAGGATGCACAGGAGAGCCTCAGGGACCCCTCTAAGCTGTACCAAGTCTCCCCCAGACTCTGTGAGCTGCGCCTCACACTGGACACCTGCAAACACAGAGACATTCTGGTTAGAAACTGTCACATAGCCACCGTTTCTTTCACAAGCATCCACTTGACCTCCCAAGATGTGCTGGAACTCAAGGTCCAACATCACCTTTGAGGGCCTTGGTCTACTGCGAGGTCATTACACCTGCTCTGACTTCAGGAATCTGTGGCTGTGGGGAAGGGTCAGGAGAGTGACTTCTTACTTACTGCTCACCAGTCCTGAGTCACAGAAATTTAAATGCAGAGTTTCACTTGTTCAATTCTATGAAGGCACCAGATAACCTGAGAGAATACAATAGTACACATACGAGGATTGAAGAAAAAAATTAACAATTTAAATTTTAAAAATCACATAAAAAAATCACTGGCCGTTGGATTTAGTTTTCTTTGAAAAATTAAAGGCACATATTGTAAAACTGCTATTTTTAAAGCATATGGGAATGTATTCTTAATTAGCCTATATACTGCCAACCACTGTGTTTGTATATTTGTGTGTGTGAGAGAGAGACATAGAAAGAGACAGAGTCAGAGAGATACAGAGAGAGAGAGATAGAAAGAATACAGACAGAAGAAGAAACACAAAAAAGGAGATAAATCTTACATAAAAGTATTATACTTTACAAGGTCATTGAATAAGGTGAGAGATGTGGTCTTTAATGGTCACATAAGGCAGAAGCAACAAATTCTTACACTAGATGTGATTATACACGTATATAAATAACATATTCTAATTATACACGCACCTCAGCATAGGCATAGCGTAGAGTATCTAGTGGTGAAATGTGAGGGTTACAGGCAACCCATTCTCCAACTTGGGCCGTGTTTTCATGGAGCCGGAGTGCCCTTTGTTGGTCCTGGGCCCCTCTCCAGGGAAGTTTGTGTCTGGGATCACACTGACGTCTTCTCTGTTCCTCTCACAAGAATACAAGTTTGTGGCAGTTGGTCATAGAACTCAGCTGCAAGAAAATTTGATACTTGGACACGGATCTGGAGATGGTGACTGAGCTCGTGAGGAGTGGGTTAGAATTTGTGCTCCCTCGTGACCTATGCCCCGATCCACTCCCTTGACTGAGGACTGGCGGATCCAGCTCCAGCAGGAAGCGCTGGCTGTGATGGAGAATCCAGAGACAGCACAGGTGAGGGAGGGGGTCAGTGAGGGCCTCACCAGGCCAATAAATGACCATGAAACACGGTGGTCGGTGTGCACAGGTTCTGGAAAACTAACTGAAATTCCTACATACACACATTTTGGTAGGAATGAAGAATTCACTTTTGTTCAATTTGTGCGATTTCTAGACAATTCAGCAGATTCTGAGAATAAATTCAGGCACATATGTGGTAAACTTGCAACTACTTTCAGTGGAATGGATATTGAATTGTTTTCTTTTACTATAAAGAGGGTGATTTTCAGAATAGAAGTGAGGCATGATTGCCTAATGGCATCCTCTGTGTCTCCTGAGAGAAGCAAGTAAAGTCGTGGTTTCTATATAAAAATCCATCAACAGTGCCTTGTCCCTGAGAATGCACGTCGCATTCCTCCAGCATTAGGGAGCCCATGATCTGGGCACCAGCTGCTGCTCTCTGAGGTCCATCATCTGGTTGGTGCTAAACACACACGTCCTGGAAGCTCGTCCCAGACAGTGAGTGGGCGCAGCGGAGATGAAAAGGCACGGCGGCTGCCAGGCACATGGCGGACCCCTGATGGGCACCTAGAGCTCAGGGAGGCCTGATGGCCTTGCTGGACTTAGTTTGGACCACATGGTACTTAGGGAGCTCCATCAGACTCCTCATTTCTCCCTCACTGCTTGTGAAACTTGAATCCTGGGCGGACAGTGTCCACAGCCTCACCCGGCTTCTTGTCCCCTTTTCTTTCTCCATCTGTGACACCTGCTTTAGGGGTGTTTGATAGCGGTTCCTCTTATAATAAATTACGAACTTAGAAACCTCAGTAGTAGGTATATAACTGTAAATATACGAGGCCCTCTGGGGAACTGTTAGATGAGAGGAAGCCACAGACCCTGAAGGAGAGCAGCCCTTGACCTCCACCTGCACCTGCCCTGGGGCTGCACCTGCCCTGGGGCTGCACCTGCCCTCTGTGTATCCTGAGCACCCCCTGGTGGTTCCATACACCCCTGCAGGGAGGTTTGTGTCTGGGCTCACACTGACCTCCCCTCACTGTGTCTCTCACACAGTAATACACGGCTGTGTCCTCAGCTCTCAGGCTGTTCATTTGCAGGTAGAGGGAGTTTTTGGCATTGTCTCTGGAGATGGTGAATCGGCCCTTCACAGAGTCTACATAGTATTTCTCACTTCCATCATACTTTATGTCAGCCACCCACTCCAGCTTCTTCCCTGGAGCCTGTCGGATCCAGTTCATCCTGGTGCTACTGAAGGTGAATCCAGAGGCTGCACAGGAGAGTCTCAGGGACGCCCCGGGCTGTACCGAGCCTCCCCCAGACTCCACCAGCTGCACCTCACACTGGACACCTGCAAACACAGAGACATCCTGGTCAGAAACTGCCACACATATTCCCAGTTTCTCTCACTCATATTCATGTACATTCAACTCATTCCCCATGAATCACCTTTGAAAATAGCAACAAGGAAAACCCAGCTCAGTCCAAACTCCATGGCGAGTCCTGTGTGTTCAGTGTTGATCACCGAATAGAAACACCTGGAAATTCTAGGGCTGGGGCTCCCAGAGCTGCAGGGTCAGGGCTGGGCTGCTTTTCATCAGCAGAGGGAGGGACCTATTTGCATGTCTCCTACTGTATAGCAAGCTCTGGGGTGGGGGCGCCTGAGGAGAGGGCAGGGCCCAGAGCAGATGAGTGTTCTGCAGGAGTTTAGAGATATTGATAGGATTTTGGAAAATGTAGTTCCTTATTATAAATTTGTTTTGTGATAAACTCTTTAAACCTACAATTGTATTTGTAACTTATTTTAAAATAGTTTTACTGAAGTACAATGGACCTGTGAAAACCGCATATATTTAAACTTATCAGCAATCAATCATCTTATTTAATTTTTACATATGTGGAGAAATCATGGTATGTAGTATCAATGTTGTTTCCATGTTACGGATGGAAAATTACCAGCAGAAGCACAGATGGGTGGTACAATGTTCCCAGAGCTCACATTTGGTCAGAGTGAGCCCAGATACCTGGGTCTGTGCTTCTCACCACTGGGCCTGGCTGCTCCCTGAACCAAGCCCAGCACAGTATGGGTCACCCCCAGTGATATTTTCAGAACTTTCTTCCTGTAATGAAAGCATGGTGTGATGTGTATGCACTATTGTGTTTACCTAATGAATGTAAAGAGAACACATTTTATGCAGTTGTATTTTCATAAATGTCAGACATTCATCATATTAGTGTCTATTTTTCCATGAATCTGTACTGAACAAATTATTCATTCATTGATTTGTAATACTCTTATTTACTATACAGTAAATATTGCATGAAATGTTTGGTTTAACAAGTGCTCAAGCCGATCCTAGTGGCACACAACGATAGTTTCAGCTACTTAGATGGCAGATGCAGCAGGATTGTTGGAGACCAGAAGTTGGAGGCTATATTGAACTGTGATCCCACCACTGCACTCCAGCCTGGGTCACAGAGTAGGACCACATCTCTTCAGAAACAAACAAAACAAAATGTAATTCCACTCGTGCTCACCTGTGCATCCATAAGAAACATTCAGATAATGAACAAATAAATGACACTTAAAAGTTTCCTTGTGTTCCTGTGCAATTCCTTCTTTCCAATTATTTTCTTCCCTCGCCATATTTTGAGTCAATCCTTCACATTAAATACTTTGGTTTTGAGTTTCAAGAATTTACTATACGGGAATTATATAGTATGTGTTTTATTTGTGTGGCTTCTCACTCATCATAACTACTTGTGATGCAACCAAGTTGAGCATCAACAATGTCTTGATTCTAGTGATGGATATTATTACAGTACATTAGCACATCATTAGTGTTCATATATATATATATATATCTCTTCTTGAATCATTTCTAGTTTCTGAGTATTACACATGGAGGTGCTACTCAGCTTGGAGATGTAGGCATCCCATAAAAAATGTGTTATTCTTACAGCAACACTAAACTTACTGATCTGCAAATTATCACATTTTTCTTAAATACATCAGATTTTTGATGTTATAGGACAAACAATATATCTGAAATCTGAAGAGATAAGGACTTGCAGAGAAATAAACAGGAACAGACGATAATCTTTTCTGGGGCAGAGGCTGCCAAATGTCATTTAAGCTAGCACAAGATTAAAATAGATATATTCATTGGATGGTTTCAATTCTGTGTGATAGAGAAGTTATTGTTTAAATTCTCAGAGTGCATACAGTTGAGGAATTCCTCCTGCTCTTGAACCTTTTTCTTCAGTCCTGGGGACACATCACAAAATGCTCCAGCCTCTACCCCTTGGGACGGTGCAGTCTGGGAAAGCAAAACAGCAACTACAGCTGAAATGCATCCAGGCACACCTCCCCATCACCACTACCGTGCAAGAGAAATTGTCTGCAGAGGTAAAGCCATCAAAACTGCTCTTCTACAGACACTGGAGAAACCAATAAGACTGGGAGGGGACAGAGGAATGCACCAAATCCCTGTCCAGGCCCCCATCTTCCCTCAGGAGTGACAACCTTATTCAAAAGGAAAAGGCAGTAAAGAGGAAACTGAAGAAATCAGTGGGAAGACATAGGGGTTGCTGAATGAATATATGAATAAAAATGAAGAGGCCGGGTGTGATGGCTCATGCCTGTAATCCAAGCCACTCTGGGATGCCAAGGCACGAGGATCACCTGAGGTAGGGAGTTAAAGTCTGACCAACATGGAGAAACCCCGTCTCTACTAAAAATACAAAATTAGCTGGGCGTGGTGGCACATGCCTGTGATCCCAGCTACTCAGGAGGCTGAGGTAGGAGAATCGCTTGAACCTGTGAGGCAGAGATTGCAGTGAGCTGAGATCACGCCACTGCACTCCAGCAAGAAGAGAGAAACTCCATCTCAAAAAAAAAAAAAGGACAAAAAAAAAGAAGAATGAGAAGAATCAGCCGAGTGTATATGAAGGCCCTGGAAACCTAGCTACTTGCTACTCAGGAGGCTGAGGTGGGAGGATTCTATGAGCCAGGAATTCAAAATCACAGTGAGCTATGGTCACACCACTGCAGTCCAACCTGCACAGCAGAGTGAGACCCCGTCTCAAAAAAAAAAAAAAAATTAAGTATTTTACACAATTGTAAAGCTACTGAAATAGAAGAAGTTAAACTGCACATCCTCACGTATCCTCTGGCACTTCTGATATTTTGAAGAAGACAGGTGACCTAAGACCTTCAGAACAAGCTGATGATCTCAAATCATGAAAAGCTTCCACACAAGACATTGGACCAGAATCCTCCTCCATATCCTCGTCCTACACATTATTCTTTTGCTTATAAACAGTCTTCTCATATTCTGCAGACCTGGCTGTTGTCCACCCATGTTGGAGTCTTGTCTCGTTTCTTACTCATCAGTTGTGTAGTTGCTATTTAGAACAAGTCTTCAGACTCCGTGTTTAGGCCTGACTGCTGACCACTTAAGGCTCTTTCCTCCATCATTTTTTTTTTTTTTTTAAGCATACAAGGAAAATCTAGTTAGAAATCACAGGAGCTCCCTCATGTGATGCCAATTTGACCTTGAAACCCCACAGAACCCTTCCTGCAAGTAGGATGCTCTCCCCAGCCCCCTACCAAACCGTGATAAAAAACCCTGAGCTGGTTTCCTTCCCTGCTCTATCAAGCCACTTTGGACCTTCATGAGAGACCTGCCCTGCTCTCAGCAGACTCCTCAAGGATGCCGGTAACTAACATTTCCATACTCACTTGGTGTGAGTGTGTAGTACTACCAGACTCAACATCCACAGAAAATTTTAGTCAAGATCTCTGCATTTGCATAGTGTCAGTTACACAACGGATGCTGGGAGCTTGGTGTCACACGGCAACTTCCCAAGGACATGCCTGCTCCCTGAGTTAACTCCAGAACACAGTTGGATGTGCCTCCTGGGGTTTGAGAAGCTCCCTTCATGTACTGAAATCCTGTCGTTATGTTTTTGTATTCTAGTGTTTCCCTAAAATTATAGCGAGATCCAGGATTCATTCATGTGTATATTCAGGACTCTGATTTTTATGTATTTTATTCATCTCTCTCTCTACCACTCTTTCTACCAAATTATACATTTTAAAAGTTGCAATATTTTAATGAGGTGAAATTAGCAAATAAGAATCTTTACATAAAGTGTACAATTTTACAAATAGACATAATCCTCACTTTTCCTAACAGAGAAAAAATAAATTATCCTAGAAATTTCCTTTTGCTCTCCTATAGTTTCTCCTTTCTACACCTTCCTTTCTTGTACCATGTCCACAATCAACTACAGATCTTTTTATGTAACTTTAAGTTCATTTTTACTTTATAGAAATTATAGAAGTGGAATCGTACATATGCGCTTGTATTTTTTTGCCTTATTTTTCTCATTCAGGTACTTGTTACTTTAAGCATGGTGTTGAGTGTATCCGGCACTACTTGATTGTAACAGTGGGTATTATTCCAGTAAATGAATTTGCCACAATTTGTTTACCAGTTAAGCTGCTGACTAACACTTGGATCGCTTTTGGTCTCTGAGTATAATAAACAAAGATGCTACTTAGCTTATTGAAGTAACCAACTAAGAAACACATGGTTCTTATTTTTACATAACATGAATAGCAGGCAAAGCAGAAAAGCTGCACATTAATCAGTGTGCTTCAATACATCAGATAATTAAAGTTGGGGAGCTCTGTGCATGTGTCAGTTCATGTGTTTTTGTGTGAAAGAGAGAATGGAGGAGAGACCAAGAAAAAAGAGACCCCACATGTTTGGACCATAATGTATGAGGTACTCAAGTAAATACAGGGACTTGGTGCCTGATGGACAAGGTCCACATAAGATGGAGAGGACAACTTGATGCGCCTCCATATGGGTATATATTAGTATTTATATAAATGCCATTTTCTAGTCATATAAACACTCAGACACATTAGAAAAGATGTAGTGGAGGGGTCTGGTGGTGAAATATGATGGTGAAAACAACCCACATCTACAGCCCCTTTTCTGCCCTGTTGCACCTGCCCCAATGCTGAGCCTTGATCCTGCTCATCCTGACCCCCTGACAATCATCCTAAGCCCCTGTACTGCCCGAGTGCCCCCTGCTGGTCCTATGCACCCCTGCAGGGAGGTTTGTGTCTAGGCTCACAACGAAGTCCCCTCATTGCTTCTTTTCCTTAAAAATGCATACTTGTGGATTCAGTAGACAAAAGCTCAGCTGTAAGAATTGGTTCTTGGATGTGGATATGGACTCTTGAGAAGTGGGTTGTAATTTGTGCTCCCTTCACAACCCATGAACCTGATCCACTCCTGTCCATCTTCTAGGGGCAGATACAATTCTAGCCGGAAACACTGGTTATGATGGGAAATCCAGAGACAGTGCAGGTGAGGGAGAGGGTCTGTGAGGATGTCTCAAGCCAGAAGTGTGCTGAGAAACACAGTTGTTGATGTTAACGGGTTCTGGACAACAGGATGAAATTCCCAAATACACACATTTTTATGAGAATAAAGAGCTCACTTTTGTCCAATTTGTGA